TTTTTTTTTTTTTTTTTTTTTTTTTTTTGGTACTGAGGAATGAACTCAGGGGCACTCTATCACTGAGCCACATACCCAGCCCTATTTTGTATTTTATTTAGAGACAGAGTCCCGCTGAGTTTCTTAGCACCTCGATTTTGCTGAGGCTGGCTTTGAACTTGTGATCCTCCTTCCTCAGCCTCCCAAGCTGCTGGGATTACAGGTGAGCACCACCACACCTGGCTTGAGCATCTGCTGATGGACACTTTTTTATCTTTACCAGTGAAACTAGAACGTGAAGCTGAAGAAGAACGAATCCGGAAGCACAAGGCAGCGGCTGAGAAGGCTTTCCAGGAAGGGATTGCCAAGGCAAAGCTAGTCATGCGGAGGACTCCTATTGGTACAGATCGAAACCATAATAGGTAAGAAGTTTGATTCTTGTTATCTTATGGGGAGATTCTTTTGTTATTAATTAATGAAGCTATCTAAAGCATTAAAAATAGATAACTGTTTCTATTCAATTTTCCAGTTTTGATTGAAAACATAATTGCTTATCATACATTTACTGAACATTATCTATGCCAAATGCAGGGTTATAAAGTTAAATAAGATGTGTCCCTCAGCTGGGGATGTAGCTTAGTGGTAGAGTGTTTACCCAATATTCAGGAGGCCCTGGGTTTGTTCCCAGCATTGCCACTAAGAAAATTTAAAAAAAAAAAAAAAAAAAAAAAAAGGTGTTTTCTGGCTCTTAAAGTCACTAAAAATAAGATGAAGTGTATTCCAAATAGAGTTTCTTATAGTTTCTTATACACAACATACACTCTCAGACATATTTTTTTTTTTTTTAGCAGTACTGGGAATTGGACCCAGGGCCTTGCAAATGCTAGGCAAGCAATCTATCACTGAGCTACAGTTTCCAACCTAAATACATGCATTGTGTGGAATCCAAAGATAGCAATTATAAAGATTATAGACATTAAGTAAATTTTGATGTCCTCTGCTTTACCTTATCAGTTTTATCTGTTTGCAATTTTGAGCAAAGGTGCTATCAGCTGCAGTTTCAAATGCTTGTCATACTCTAGTCAGCTTTTCTAATATTAAAATCATCCCATCCTGATGTATTCATTATCTGATTAACACTGATTGTGATTTGTAGATACTGGCTCTTCTCAGATGAAGTTCCGGGATTGTTCATTGAGAAAGGCTGGGTACATGACAGTATTGACTACCGATTCAACCATCGCCGCAAAGACCGTGCAGACTCTCCTGATGAGGATTACTATCCCCGAAGTAAGCCTGTCTACTCTAGATACCCCTCAAATTGTGATAGGGTCATGTCCTAATAAACTCATCACAGGCTGAAAGGATTGCATGTTAAAAATGCATTGAACGCACCTAAACTTCCAGGCATCCCCCTTGGCAGCATAGCACACTGTGATGCCTCAGTGTTTCCCCTGTGATTGTGCGACTGCCTGCTGCTGCTCTGCATTGCATGAGAATAAGTACTGCCTGTTGCTGGCCTGGGAAAAGATCATAATTCAGAATTCAAAGTACCGTTTCTACTGCATTTGTATTGCTTTACACCGTTGTAAAGTTAAAAATTTTAAGTCAAACCATTTAAAGTAGGGACTCTCAATATTTGTTTTACCCAACTCATGTAGGCACCACATTAAGGAGTACTACCTTTCCATTTCTTTAAAAAAAGCTAGAAGTATTTAGTGAGGTGAGTGGTTGTGAATGCATAGAGAGAAGGAAAGAAATTCATATTTTATTACCAGTTTTGTTCTCACTATTGTTGAGAGGATAAATAGCTTGAATATTAGGATATTTGGGCAGTAAATATTTATAGGCATAGTTTTCAAACTTTGTACCTTGTAAACTTCTTTATAGGTGCTTCAGGGCTTAGAATTGAGGTTAAGGACTAAGAAAGCAGAGTTATATCTTCTATCCCAGCAGCTTGGGAGGCAGAGGCAAGAGAATTTCGCGCTTAAGGTCAACCACAACAATTTAGAGAGGGCCTAAGCAATTTAGCAAGACCCTTTCTCAAAATAAAAAATAAAATGAGCTAGGGGTGTGGGTCAGTGGTTAAGTGCTTCTAAGTTCAATTCCTGGTACCAAAGAATATAAATAAATAAATAAATATGTTTCCTTGTTCTTTGCTTTTAAAAGTATTTATTCAAGATTTTTGGAGCGTCTCTTGTCTACTAAGAAATTTTATAAAAATAGAAAACAATAAAATTTAGGAATAAGAACAAGCATAGGAAATATTTCCATATGTAAATAACATTTAAAAGCATGTTAATTATGTCTCAGTGCTATAGTTACATTCACAGTCACTCTAATAAATCTCAAAACTGTAGCTAACTTTAAAAAAAAAAATGTTTAGGGGCTGGATTTGTGGCTTAGCTCGCCTAGCCTGTGCAAGGCACTGGGTTCAATCCTCAGCACCACATATAAATAAACAAACAAATGAATGAATAAATAAAATAAAGATATTGCATCCAACTATAACTAAAAATATTTTTTAAAAAGCAGGACTCATAATAATAATACTTGGCACATGTCATTTAGAGAAATCTAGGAATTCACTAATGTATGTAAAGCAGTTTTGTCCTCTTAAATGCAAATGTTAAGTCAATATATTACTTACATTTTAAATTTTTATTTAGGATTTATGAAAGATTTTCATTTTTAAATATGACTAAAAAATTTTGGTACTTTCAGCAATTACAACAGAAGATTCCCTTTTGGGATTTCTTTCTCCATATTTGTTTCATAAAGCAGAATATTCTATAATTAGCATTTTTAATATTTTTTACATTTTACTATTTCTGCTTTTTCTTATTTATTCTTTGCTGAGTTGTATTCACAGAAAGCTTTCTAAGAAATGGTTTTCTTTTTTTTAATTGATTTTTTAATTAGGTATATATGACAGCAGAATGCATTTTGATTCATTGTACACAGTTGCAGCACAACTTTACATTTCTATGGTTGTACATGATGTAGCATCACACCATATGCCATGAGGGGGCCTGGACAGTCTTCTTCATCTTGGCACATTTATATAGCATGTTGGATTTGTAAAATAAATGCAAATTACTTTTCTGAATATGTATTTTCATTCTTTCTCGAAGTGTACCTGTTGAATATATTTTAAGAAATTAAATTTCTCTTTTTTTTAAGTTTTAAAAATGAGATGCTTGGGGCCTGGGGTTGTGGCTCAGTGTTAGTGCACTTGCCTAGCATCCGTGAGGCACTGGGTTCGATTCTCAGCACCACATACAAATAAATAAAATAAACGTCCAACAACAACTAAAATTAATTATTAAAGATGGGATGTGTGGGTCAGATTAGGTCTTCTCAACCTCCATGTTACTAACACTTTGAGTCAGAAAATTCTTTGTAGTGGAAACTGTTCCATGTTTATGTGATGTTTAGCAGTACCCATAGCCTCTGGATGTCAGTGAAAACCAAGCTCTGCTCCCTGTTGAGAACCATTGGGTTAGTTGAACCCAATGAAAATTGCTTCTCACATATTAGATTATTACATTTCTTTAAGAAATATTCATGTTTTAAGTAGTACTTCATTTTAGAGAAACTCTTAACCCAAACTTAAACTCACAGAATTGCGTTTTTTGTTTGTTTGTTTTTGATAGTACCAGGAATTGAACCTAGGCAAATGCTCTACCACTAAGTCACATCCACAGCCCATACTCAAAGAATTGTTAATAAGAAAACTACTAATATTATTATATATTCCCAAACTTCAAATGTAAGGTGTTTTCATGTTGAATTATATTAAGTGTAGATTATGTTGCCTTGTCAAAAACTGTAGTTTTTATAGACTTTATAAATACCCAGCTGAGGTCACTGTTAAATTAGCAGTTAACTGTGGAGTCAGGATCATCAGAACCGGGAGACATTACTGAAAGGGGTCTGATTTATAATGTGTTTCAAAAGCCAGGTGGCAGCATGGCATGGTCATGTCTGCCATACCTGTAATTGTAGCTTCTTGAGGAGGACAGCAGATTTGAGATCAGCTTGAGCAAAGTGAGACCCTGTCTGAAAATAAAATTTTTAAAAGGCTGGATGTTTAGTTTGGTGGTAGAGTACTTGGCTGACRTGCAAGGACCTAGTTTCCATTCCAAAACAGGTAGTGATTAGGCGGACAGCTTGGGGTATCACAGTGGTAGAGCACTTTCCTAGTACGTTCAAGGCCCTGTGCTCCATATCCAGTACTGCCAGAACAACAACAAAATCTTATGTCAGTTACATAGTTAAAGAGATCCCCAAGAGAGAACTGGGCATCCAAATCCCTTTATTTGTACAGCAAGTTTTCTTTTGTTCCTGAGGATTGAACCCAGGAACACTGTACCACTGAGCAATCCCCACACCCCTGCTTCCCCATCCCTCAACCCTTCCTTGAGATAGGGTCACACTAAATTGCCCAGATTGGCCTTAAATGGGCAGTCCTTCTACCTCAGTCTCCTGAATAGTTGGGATTTATGAGTGTGTAATGCTGTGCTTGGTGTTGTGGATGTTCTCGTTTAGTGTTTTCTAGTTCTAGGATGATACTGTCTCTTCAAAATTACCCAACTATAAAGACTACACGGGATTACATGGTAGAATTTCATGGAAATTGCTTCAGGTTAAGGGGAAGAGAATGGGGACAGGGAGAGAACGAATTATAGTATTAAGTCAGAATGAAAATATTGTGTTCTAAATTGGGCTTTGATAAATTGGCTTAAGATATATCTATATTAAGGTCATAAACATGTATATATGTGAACTGATTTATTAAAAAGTTAGTGGTTATAATTTGACATTTGAAGTCTCCAAAGTTAAGTCTGTAGTATTTTCTATATTCTGGTTATTTCCATTTCTTCTCAGGTGTCTTTGCTGTTAACATCATTTAAAAGGAACATTCATTTTTTCTTTTCTTTTTTTTTTTTTTTTGCAGTACTGGGAATCAAATCCAGTGCCTCAGTCATTTGAGGCAAGCGCTATTATCACTGAGCTACGTCCCATTCCAAGGATTCTTTATTTGCTTTGATATAAAGTTATTTAGTCATCCCTCTACTCTATTCTAAGTTACTATACTCTTAAAATTTTAACTATACAGCTGTTCAACTGTGGAGTTATGTTCCCATAAACCCACTAGAAATTGAAAATATTATATGTTGAAGATGCAGTTTAGGGCTAGAGTTGTAGCCCAGTAGAAGAGCGCTTGCCTAGCACTTGGAGTCCCTGGGTTCAATTCTCAGTACCGCATAAAAATAAATAAGTTAAATAAAGGTATTGTCCATCTACAACTAAAAAAAAAWTTTTTTAAATAAAATGCATTTAATACATATATCCTACTAAACAGCATGGCTTAGGAGCATCGTAGCACACTGTAAACCATCATTGCTTACCCTTGTGAATATGTGGCTTGCTGACACTACCCAGCATTGCAGTAGAGTGCTGTATTGCATATTGCAGACCCAGGGAAAGTTAATAAAAGTTTGAAGTACAGTTTCTAATGATATGATGTGTATCACTTTCCTATCATCATAAAATGAAAAAGTTGTAAATTGTATCATCATAATTTGGAGACCATTTGACTCAGATAACGTACTGTGCATGAAGAGAAATTTGTGTCTACTCTACATGTCACATATTTGATAGACAGCATCTATGTTGTTAGTTGTTGGGCCTGGCATAGGTTACTTAGTTTTGAAACGAGGAATTAGTATTTACTATGATCAACTTAATGGTTACATTCTTCTTAGGTAAGAAAACAAACTTAGGCAAAAACACAACTGTTAACACACAGCATGGATCGGCAGTAGAAATGGCTGTGGAGACTACCATTCCCAAGCAAGGACAGAACCTATGGTAATGTGAGCATTCATCTGGTTGCTCTTTCTTTTTTCTTTTTTTTTTCTAAAGTGTTAAGGAAGAAAATATTTAGTATAATGACATCTAATAAGAACATTTCATGTTACTTTGAATTTTTGAATATTAAAACTGTTTTAAAAGCAGATTTGATTTTCTGATAAGCAGATATTTATATTTCTCAACATTTGGAATTTGATTTTTCCCTCTGTAATAACTTTGTATATTATATAATATCTTATAATATTATATAAGATCTTATATGGCAGTAGAGAAGCCCTTGAATCTGGGAACAGAGGATTTAGGATATTCCTGAATTAGGTTTTATTAATTCATTCAAGTTTATTAGTTTGGTAATTATTAATACTTTTTATAAAGTATATAACAAATTTATTGATTAAAACTTATTAAAGAATAGAAATTGTATGTACATCCAGTAGCCTTCCTTTTTGCATAGTTGTGCTTTTTTAGCAAGAAACTAGGTTTTGAGAGGGCCCTTCTAATTCCTTTAACTGCATTAGCTGTGATCAACTGACTTTTCATCTTTCAGGTATAGGTTTTCTTTTTGGAGTTATGTGGACGTATATTTCTATTAACTTTATAAAATTTTACATAGTACTAAAGAAACACTGGCTCCAGTGTTGTGATAAAGCTGACAATTGGCATCGTGGAAAGAGTGAATTATTTATTCTAATTGCAGATATTAGACTGTAAACAGGTTTAGGATTTTGCTTTTACAACTTCCACCACCAACCCTTGATCCATTATTGTTTGACTGATGGCTTTTCAGAGTTGTAAGATCTGTTTTACCTCTACAGGTTTTTATGTGATAGTCAGAAGGAATTGGATGAGTTGCTAAACTGCCTTCATCCTCAGGGAATAAGAGAAAGTCAACTTAAAGAGAGACTAGAAAAGAGGTAAGGATTTTTCTTTTGCTTCTCACATCTTCTCTTCAATGGTAGATATAAATATCTGAGGAATATTTTTGGTTTTGCTTATAAAGTAAAAATTTAAAAATTTCTGTAACCCTTGGATGTTCATATTTTTGGTGCATCATGCTTATCTGGAAAAATATACCTTTAAATCATATATAATACAGGCTACCAGGATTTCTTATTGAATAATGCTTGCCCTGTATCAAGCTGTTAGCCTCATTGTAATTAGGCACTCTTGCAAACATAGTACCAGATGGGTTGGTTTTTTAAAGTGTTCCCTTCATTAAGCTGGTGCATTGGCACACCCCTCTAATCCCAGCAACTCTGAATGCTGAGGATTGCATTTTTGAGGCCAGCCTCAGCAATTTAGCAAGGCTCTTAGCAGTTTAACAAAACCCTGTCCTAAAATAAAAAGGGGTAAGGTTGTAGCTCTGTGGCACAGCACCCCAAGTTCAATCCCCAGTACCAAAAAAAAAGTGTTTTGTCAAGATTCACCATAGCCCTAAAGTGGAATGTAAATACCCATCATGTGGATAAACAAAATATGGTATTTCTGAATGATGGGATATTATTTAGCCACAAGAATGGAATGAAGTGTTGTTACAACATGGATGAACCTACAAAATGTAAGGTTTGAATGAAAGAAGCCAAATATAAAATACTAGGTATTTTATGGTTTCTTTTATATGAAACATCCAGAAGGGGCAACTACTTAGAAACAGAAAGCAAATTCCTCATTGCCAGAGAATAGGGGAGGTAATATTAGGACTGTTAACATGCATGAGTCTCTATTTAGGGTTTTGGAACTGCTTTAGAGCTTGGTAGTTGTGATGATTTTATAACATAAAATCCCATAAAACAATACCTTTTTTAAATGGTGAATTTTATTTTATATAAATTATATCTTTTTTTAAAAAAAAGCTGGGCCTCATCGAATATACCTGTAATCCTAGGTATTTGGGAGGCTGAGGCAGGAGGATTACAGGTTTAAGGCCAGCCTGGGCATGCTAGTGATACCTATCTCACAATAAAAAGGACTGGGGGTATAGTTCAGTGGTAGAGTTGTTGCCTAGTATGCATGAGGGAGGCCCTGGATTTCATACCTGATATGAGAAACAAAACAAAATTAAAATCCACAAAACCAGTCTTGTTTTCAAAATAGCATCCACTTCATTTAGAGTTTTTTTGATGCTATGTCTGTTGTATCCACTCTTTATATCAAAGGCAGGATAAGGGTTTTTGGCTTAAGGCTACTTCTAATTTCTGACCACATATTTATTTTCATGGCTGAATCTAGAGTTCGTTCAACAGATAAAAATACCATTTAGTACATACTCTATGGTATTGCCAGACTTTTTGGACTGGTGATAGGTATATCATATTAATTTTATTCCATTGCTTAATATGTTCATTAATTAAAATTATGCTCAAAATCGTGTTTCTTAATACAAATGTATCTTGTCAATTTAAGAAAGACAAAGTGTTAGTACCCAGAACCACAAAGAAATACAGATCTATGAGGTTCCTCCTCTGTGGTCAAAGTATTTTTATAGGCATATGAGTAGATTGAGAGGACCTGTTCTATTCATTAAATGCAAACAGATCAAAACTTCTTGTTCATGGTTAGAGACTATCAGGATTAAAGATGAAAGCTAGCACTTGAGGAGGCTTAGACAGGAGGATCTAGAGTTCAGTGCCAGCCTGGGCAACATACTGAGACCATGTCTCAAGGTAAAAACTTTTTTTTCTTTTTTCTTTTTTCTTTTTTTTTTTTTTACTGAATATTTTTAGAATTCCTTGGAGCTAGGGGCAGTGGCACACATTTAAAATGCCAGCAACTTGGGAGGCTGAGGCAGGGGGATTGCAAGTTCAAGGCCAGCCTCAGCAGTTTAGAGAGACCCTGCCTCAAAATAAGAAGTATAAAAGGCTGGGGATAAATCCCAGCTGTAAAGTGATTGAACTTTGGGTGCTGTGCCACAGAGCTACAACCTTACCCCTTTTTATTTTGGGACAGGGTTTTGTTAAACTGCTAAGAGCCTTGTTTGCTTTGTTTTGAAATTCTGTTCTGTTCTTTAGTACTGGAGATTCGAGCCAGGAGTGCTTTATCACTGAGCTGCATCCCCAGCCCTTTTTATTTTTTATTTTCAGACAAGGCCTCACTAGGTTGCTAAGGCTGTCCTTGAATTTGAAATCCTCATGCCCCAGCCTCCTGAGTCACTAGGATTATAGTCGTCTACCACTCCGCTGGCTTGTTTTGAACTCTAAAAAAAATTTTTTTTTTTCAGTTGTAGATGGACACAATACCTTTATTTTATTTATTTTTATGTGGTGCTGAGGATCAAACCCAGTGCCTCATACGTGCTAGGTGAGCACTCTACCACTGAGTCACAACCCCAGCCCCCTCTTTTAAACTTTTTTAAGGATACCAGGCAGTTTGGCATTTGTTTCCTATTTAAGTGACATCATGTTTCTTATAATTGAATTGCACTTTTATTTCTGTATAATGTTCCATAAATCTATATAATATTAGTGAATTCACCCTAGTTTGTCCCTTCTTTTGGTGGTGATTATTTGAGTTGTTTCCTCTTGCGGGAGACCGGGGATAGGATAATGTTTCATGAGCCATTTGAGGTTCTAATTTGAAAACCAAAACATACATACTATTTATAAGAAAATATGTAAAGGGATGGGAATGTAAATAAAAGGGTGAGCAAAAGTATATGAGGGCAGCTAGAAGCATAAGAAAATAAGATTTTTATATTCATTGACTATAAAAATTAACCATGTACTTAGCCACAAAAGCTCAACAAATTTACAAACATTGACTTTAGGATATTTTCTCAGATTGCAGTAAAGTTAAAATGAATTCTTCATTAATGGCCAAAATGATCTTAACTGCCACTGAGTTAAGTGTATTCCTAGATGACACTTGCATCAAAGGAGAAAATGAAAGGGAGGTTCTGTAGCATCTGGAAATCGTGAAGGGAGAAACCAGCGTGACATAGTGAAGGTACATCCAAGGAAAATAATATAAAAGTCTTTATTACTAAGAGAGAGGAACTTTGTGTTCAGCTCGGATGACATTAGCTTTAGTGTTTATTTTGTAGGAAGCCTACAGGAAAGCCTGGGGCCCCTGGGGTAGAGTGCCTGATAGGAATCTATTGCTGGGACCTGAAAGGGTTAACTTTCAGTGTGAGACTAAACCCTGCTGAAGTTACCATGTAATTTTGGTCGTACATTGACATTTCTTTGTGTTGTGATAAGTTTTAAGCAGACAATTTAAAATCATCCCAGTTTGGTGGCATTTTCTTAGAACAAACAATCAAGTGCAGGTTCTCCAGAGGAGCACAGCACCAGCCAGGCCTCCAGCAGTTCCCATAACTAACATTCCAGGAGAGTCCTGGGAGTCACAAAATGCACAAATCAGGTGTCATGAGTGAGAACTAGGAAAGGCATTGTTTACCAGACACCAGAATTAGCCAACACAGAATAAAATAATTGTTTTTAGAATGAAGCAAGAATTAAGAAAAATTTGAAAATTGTGTACCTAAAACATGAGACTGACTAAAAAACAATAAGGAGAAAATAAGTTTTATAGAAATAGAACATGTCATTCAAGTAATTAAAATTTAAAGAATATCTTCAAATACTCTTTTTCTTTTTCTTTTTTTTTTCCAAATACTTTTTATTTCCCCTTTCCTTTGCCTCAATTCTTATAGGTACCAGGACATCATTCACTCTATTCATCTAGCTCGTAAACCAAATTTGGGTCTAAAATCCTGTGATGGCAACCAGGAGCTTTTAAACTTTCTCCGGAGTGATCTCATTGAAGTTGCAACAAGGTTACAAAAGGGAGGACTTGGATATGTGGAGGAAACATCAGAATTCGAAGCCCGGGTAAAGAGTATAAAAAAAACACTTTGAAAGCTATTACCTAGAAAAACACAGTTTGAAATTGTTTCTTGATACTGTAATTGACTTGCCAAGATAACCCTAGAAATCATGTTTGGGTTTGTCCTGTTATGTATAGAACCAAAAATTGTTTAAGTATGTTATTTTTCCCTTTGTTATCTTTTGCTGATTTCCAGAAAAAAAATCTAGTAGTCTCCTCAGAACCTTTGTTTGAAAAGAGCTTATCTATTTACCTGAATGAAAACTGGCTGTCAAGCCATGGTCATATAACATTTCTTTTTTGTGTCTGTGTGGTACTGGGGATTAAATCCAGAGCCTTGGCAAGGACTCTATCAAATGAGCTATATCACCAGCCCATCATTTAACTTTTCTTTCCATTATGATACCTGTGCTTCAAATTGTGAAATGTGTCTGTGAATCCTACTTGGATCCATTCTGTATACTCTATCAGCTGAGTTAAGCTATGTTTAGTTGTTTGTCACTTATACTAATTAAGTGAAGTATATTTTAAGGCCCCTTCACAGTCCTGATGTGTGAAAGGATACTTAAGAAGTATAAGTAAAGCTGTTTCAAGAGACCCTTTGTTCCATGTTACATAGGTCTATGTACCAAAGCTGAAGAGAAGACTGGCAAATACTATCAACTGTTATTGTAAGATGTGTTTTTCCGATTCTAAATCATAAAGTCCACATAATTCTAGATACTAATGTTTGTGGATCTTTTCAAATTATAGTCAGTCTTCTAACCATGGGCTCCACATCTGCATATTCAACCAACCACCGATCAAAAATGTTTGGGAAGGGGCTGGGTTTGAGGCTCAGCGGTAGAGCCTAGCACGTGTGAGGCCCTGGGTTCGATCCTCAGCATCACATACAAATAAATAAATAAAGGTATTGTGTCCAACTACAACTAAAAAAAATATTTTAACAAAATGTTTGGGAAAATTTGTGACTGTACTGAACATGTGGAGATTTTTTTTCCCCTTGTCTTAAATTCTAAGAGATATTTATGTAGCACTTACATTGTAATAGATTTCATAAGTCATTTAGAGCTTAATACATGGAAGGATGCACAGGCTATATGCAAATACTGTACCCCTTTAAATAAGGGACTTACACTTTCATGGGTATTAAGGAGTGTTTGTGTTGGGAGGTGCATCTGATAGTGTGGTGTGTGTATTTTTTTTCCCCCTTCTTTTTCCTTTTTTGAGGTGGGGTCTCATGTTGACCAAGCTGGCCTTGAATTTGTGATTCTCCTACCTCAGCCTTATGACAAATTAGGACAACACACATGACCTCACCTGGCTTTTTGGCTTGTGTATTCTTACAGTTGTATAGTTTGGTGCATCTTTTTCATTTTCCCTAATTTGTAAATATCAACCCTTTTTTTTTTCATGGTCTGCATTTCTGTTTCTTTGTTATCAGAATTAACAAATTACATATTACATATGTAAGTTTTTCCTTTTAACTAGTCTAGTGATGAATCCTTGGTACATTTTCTAGAAAAACAGATTTAAATATATTTGTGGTTCTGAATGATACTTGAAGATTTGTTGAACCTAAGTGATTTTGTTATTTTCCAGTACTACATATTTATTTCATGTAAGATAGGTGATATGGTAAGGTTGTAACAAGAGAGAACAGTGTGAACATCCAATCATAACCTGAAAAGTAGCTATACACATGCTTTTAAAATTTTAACAAATGTTCAACAGTTGCCTACACTGTTCAATCCAGACCTCTTTCTTAGTGACATTGAGTTATATCTCTTTTTAGCTGCAAAATGGAATTTCTAAATTGGTATGCCTTCTGTAACAAGATAGTGTGCAGTGTGTAAGAGCATGATTTATTTTTGAAAAATTGTCATTTGATAGATAACTTCTAAATTATTATAAAGAGAAGACAATAACTTGTATATACACTAACTCAGAATATTTTCACTAAGCATCAAGTAGAACAGTTTAAAATCTTTTCACCAAAAATACCTTTATTGTTGAAAGACTGCCCAAAACTTAGTTTATTTAGGCTTTTAATCAAGAAACCTAAAGCTTCCAATTAGAACTTATAACTAGCATGAGGTGATCAGGTTAAACCCTTATAATATGAGTAAGAATAACTTTAAAGTTTTGACCTGGGCTGGGATTGTGGCTCAGTTGTATGGCGGTTGCCTAGCATGCGTGAGGCACTGGGTTCGATCCCCAGAACCATGTAAAATTTAAAAATAAAGGTATTATGTCCATCTATAACTAAAATAAATTTTTAAAATTTTTTTTAATATTTAAAAAAAGTTTTGACCTATACATTCTAATCGAGGAAATCTGCTGGCCTCCATCAGCAGAGCATACAAACAAAATGAGTAATGAGAAGCATATCCAAAGTGAGTACAAAGTATCCTATAAAATGCATGTGCTTATATTTTCAAGGGGAATCAAGTCTAATTCCCAAAGAGTAGTAAGGGGCACAGAAACAGATCCTGTACCCTGGAATGAAATGCAGGCTTCATGGACCAGGTGGTATCCAGGCCAGACCAGGAACATGAATGAATATTGATGTCTGAGGAGGGATCTGCAGGGCTGGAGAGGAAAAACAAATCAAGACACCAAATCACCGACCTAATGACTATTCAGACAGTGGAGTGTTTGTACTGGGTGAAGGGATGTACTGGAACCAGCTTTGCATAGAACAGAAAGACTTCAACAAGAGGGCGAAATAGCTTCCCCAGTGGAGGCCCCATGTGCTGTTTGTGGAGGTGAAGTAGCTGAGGATCAGTCTGCAGGTCACTCTCCATCCCAAGGCCCTAGTTTCCTGGAATCAAATCTATGAGCAAGAATCTTCCTTTGTGTAAACTGTCTCTTCAAACAGTAAAACAAACACAAGCACATAAAACAAAACTCAAAAGAATAAGAATCAGACTGAACTTTGACCCCTTGTACTTCACTTGTGTCCTTTGTCATGTTAGTGAGACAAGGTTTGCTTTGTTACACTGATTCACTTTCTGCAAGGCATTTAGCAATCATGCTCCTATTATGTCTCCCCCTCAAAACAGTAAATACCATGCAAAACAAGCACCCAAATAAAAGGCAGCATCAGCTTAAGGATCTACTGTAATATTACTACACAGTCCTAGCAGATTTTAACCCTTTTCTGGCCCATTTACAAAATATGTGAACTCTGTAATACTCTGGAAACATTACAAACGTTGCTTTAGATTTCTTTTCTTGAAGAAATTAAGTCTTGAAACAGCAGATTTACATATTTGTTTACACTACCATGGATGGGTAATTATCACAAAAGGCCTTCGACCAAATTTTTTCTTTCCTGAAGAGTTTTGTAAGTTTTCTCCTCAGGTTGCAGTTTCTCCCTCAGCTCTTAACAGATTAACAACTAGGGAAATACATATAAAGTCATATAGAAATTTAAAAAATTAAAAACCAAGAAAGAATCTGTCATCAAACTAATAGTCTAAACTTTGTTACAACCTCCCCTCCTCAAAAAAAATTTTTTTAAAAACACTTCATTTACAAAGCTATAGGTATTTTATTTTATAAAGTACTCAAATAATTAACAGTTTATAAAAATTGGAGGAAATTTTTGGGTGGAAACAAAACAGTGACTCATTCTCCCTTAAATAGTTCTAAAATGCCACATCCCCATAGGAACATTTGGCCAAACTGTCTGCAGGGCATTACCTTGTAGGCCAGACCCCTCTCAGGTCAGCTTTAGAGGCTCAGGCATGCTGGCAAATGCCAGCTCCAGGCAGGCCAAGGACCCCTGAGGGACTTTGGCCAGCATTTTGTGCTGCAGGCTAATGTCCTCCAGCACCTGCCATCAATGCCTCAGCTGTGTCAAGCRCTTCTGCACCAGCGCTCATTTCCGATGCAGTTTACTCCTTAGTTCAGAGGTGTCCTCTTTGATAACTTGTGCTGGTTACTGGACAGACAGCTGCAGTCTTTTTTGTAGGAAAAAACATTCTGTCTTGGAATATACAGAAACTTCTGGCTACACTAATATACACCGATTCAACTTTTCTTCTTGATTGGTGCCATTGACTTAATCCCGACTCAAAATAATCCAAGCAAGCCTTGAGTGATGACTCCCAACTCCACCAAGTGCTGTTAGAAGTTCTCAGAGTTCTAGGAGCTGCCTGAAGAAACAGAGCCCAGCCCTGCAGTCCTAGTGGGGTTGCCCCCTCCCCCAGAATGGAATCTGGAAACTGAGAGCATGATTTTGATGATGTGATTTAACTCCAGTTTTCTCATCCATAAATTAGTTGTGAAGCTTACATAACATCAAGCATATTACTTGACAATTAAGTAACTAAGCCAGAAAACCAGTAAATTTTGATTTTCCTCAGTTTGTCTTTGCATTAAGACTATAGTTTACATTTGGTAGGTGCTCAGTATTATCAGATGAATGAGTTCTGTAACTCTTGAAGTGAGTGAGATTTCAGCATTCTATGTATCCTATCACTGGGGGAATGGAAGTAGTCAACTTTTAAATGTATACTCCATCTAGTGAACTAAGAAACACAGGTGGTAAATTATGTTATGTGGCCTTTGATATTTTAGTCTAGGTTGATTTGAATTTAAAGATGACTTTGTTCTTTTTCTTGCACCCTTTTCTCAATCTAGTTTTTAAATTATTTCTTGTAGGTCATTTCATTAGAAAAACTGAAGGATTTTGGTGAGTGTGTCATTGCCCTTCAGGCCAGTGTCATAAAGAAATTTCTCCAAGGCTTCATGGCTCCCAAGCAAAGGAGAAGAAAACTCCAAAGTGAAGATTCAGTAAAAACTGAAGAAGTGGATGAAGAGAAAAAAATGGCAGAGGAAGCAAAGGTATTTAGTTATTAAAGAACATAGGGGGTTTGTTGTTGTTGTTAATATTTTTTAGTTGTAGATGGACACAATGCCTTTATGTTCTTTATTTTTATGTGGTGCTGAGGATCAAACCCAGTGCCTCTCATGCTAGGCAAGTGCTCTACCACTGAGCCACAACCCCAGCCCAAAAATGTAGTTTTTGATTATGTGAGTGTGAATTTTTTGTTTGTTTTGGTTGTAAATGGATACAATACCCTTCATTTTATTCATTTATTTTTTATGTGGTGCTGAGAATCAAACCCAGTGCCTCGAATGTGCTAGGCAAGCACTCAACCATTGAGTCAGCACCCCAGCCCCTGTAATTTGGTTTTGAAATAGTCTTACCTTACAGTTTTTAGCTACTTGTGACCTTACCCTCTGATCCTGTATTCCTTTTTTAAAAATCACTTTTGCTAAATTTGTGGTTTTTAAAGCTTTTTACAGCTGTGAATAATGGTCAGAATATGTGTATCTTCTCCCCAGAAATGTGGTAAAAATATATATAATGTGGAATTCCCCATTTTTTATGCTGTGTTGTTAAGTGTATACCTATTGTTATGCAAACATCACCCACCATCCACCCCTAGAACTTCTCAGCATAATGTCTTCAAGTTCATTCATGTTGTATAGCACATGCCAGAATTTCCTTTGGGTTCTTTTGTTGTTGTTGTTTGTTTGTTTTAATTTGTTCAATTAGTTATACACAACAGTAGAATGCATTTTTGACACACTGTACACAAATGGAGCACGACTCTCATTTCTCTGGCTGTATGTGATTCAGAGTCACGCCAGTAGTGTAATCATACACATATAGAGTAATAATATATGTATTATTACTTCTCATTCTATAGTCCCTCCCATCCCCACAACCCCATCCCTCCCCTCACTTCCCTCTGCACAATCCAAAGTTCTTTCATTCTTCCTTACCCTCCCTCCTGCTATGGATCAGAATCTGCTGATCAGAGAAAACATTCAGTCTTTGGGTTTTGGGGGATAGGCTTTCACTTAGCATGATAAGAATTTCCTTTGTTTTTAACCAGTGTATGTTAATAGAAAACCACTTCTCTATCTAACAACACTTCTGACATGATGTGTGTGAATTTTCTTCCACAGCAAGCAGTTCTCCAGTTTTTTGTTGTTGTTCAGCTGAAGTTCACTTCTGACACTACTTGGGAGTTTGTATCAGGTTCCACAAGTTAATAAACTCAGTCCCATAAAACTGCTCTCTTCGATGCCCATCACAAGTCCCTGTGCTGGCCGAAAGAGGGTTTTCATGACCCCTGCCTCAGGTTCAGTAGTTTGCTAAAATGGCTCGAGGACTCAGGGAAACATTTTTTTCTTAGGACAGCTAGGTTACTATAAAGGCCACACCTCAGGGACAGCTGCATGCAAGAAGCATAGGGTTGGAAGGGCCTGGAGCTTTCACACCCTCTCTGAACAACCCCAGTTTCTCAGCACACCCATGTGTTCACTAACCCAGAAGCCCCTTCCTCACCCCTTACTGGAGTTGTAGGTAGGGCTAAAAGTTTCACGCCTTTAATTACTTTAGTCCTTTTGTGGCCAGACCCATCCTGAGTCTGTCTAGGGGCCTCTATAACTAAAGAAAATCAAGAAATTTCAAGGGTTTTAGGGTCATAGATGAATCCCGAATATTTCTTTTAATACCCCCCCCCCCCCCCGCCACACACACACAGTTTTATTTACTAACTCAGCTGTTGATTGGTATTCCGGTTGCTCTCTGTCTTAATTATTGAGTATACTGCTGCTGTGAACAAAAACCTGCATGTATCTCTTCATATCTCTGCTTGTAATTCTTTTGAGATACACCAAGAAGTGGAGTTGTGGATGGAAGTGGAGTCTATCCACTGGTCCCACAGTGGCTGGACCAGCTTCCAGAAATTCTGTCAGCAGTTATCTGGGTTCTGGTTTCTGCATGTCCTTGCCAGCACTCATGTCCTGTTTCTTTGATAGTTTCCATCCTAAGGGATAGAAGGTGCTGTCTTATGGTTTTGGTTTGTAGTTCCCTAATGATCAATGATAGGACAATCTTTTCATGTGTTTATTCACCATTTGTTTCATTTTTGCAGAACTGTGTATTCAAGTCCTTTCCCTTTTTTTTCTTCTTCTTCTTTTTTTTTTTTTAATCTTTAAGCTTTTATTTGTTTAATTTTATGTGGTGCTGAGGATCAAACCCAGGGCCTCGCACATGCTAGGCGAGCACTCTACCACTGAGCCATAACCCAAGCCCTCCTTTGCCTGTTTTTAAATTGGGTTGTTTGGTTGAGTTGTAGGAATTCTTTGCGTGTGCTTGCTATTAATCTTTTATCTGATATGTGATTTGCAAATGTATTTTTTCATTCCCAGGGTTGTCTTTTTATTCTATTGATACTGCTCTTTGATGCATATTTTAATGCAACTCATCTGTGTTTTTTCTTTTGTTGCCTCCACTTTGGGTATCACATCCAAGAAATCATTGCCAAATTAAACGTCACAGAGCTTTCCTCCCTCTGTTTTCTTTTTATTTATTTATTTTTTTGTGGTGCTGAGGATCGAACCCAGGGCCTTATGCATGTAAGGCAAGCACTCTACCAAATGAGCTATATCCCCAGCCCCGTCCGTCTCTGTTTTCTTCTAATTTTACAGTTAGGTCTTTGATTCATTTTGAATTAAGTTTTGTAAAGGATAAAGTAAGGATCCAACTTCAGGTGTTTTTTGTTTGTTTGTTTGTTTGTTTTTGTTGTTATGTAGATATCCATCCAATTTGTTGGCTTTTTAAAAGTTTTAAACATAACATGCTCATTGTAAATAAATCAAACAAGAGGTTAAGTAAAAATATATAACTGCCATCCTAACCTCACTACCCAAAGATACCACTCTGTTTAGTAACCCCTAATAGTTTGATGTGCTCTCTGTTACAAAGATAATTTTTATTAGATTTTCACAGAATGGAATCCTTCTATCCAAACATTCAGTACTTTGCACTTATCAACATATTCTGGGCAATTATTTGTCCCTTCTCTGTTGGTCTGTAGTGATCTCCCTGGTGGGTTTTTTATTTTCTTCTGTTTTTCTGCGGTGCCGGGGATCAAACTCAGGGCCTTGTACATGCTAGGCAAGCACTCTACCACTGAACTACAACCCAGCCCCATGTTGTTCATTTCTGCTAATGAGTATGAAGAAGTCTCCCATTTCCCATTATGAGGATACCTAGCAGTTCCATTTTTGTCTGTTTTGTACATTAGATTTCTGCTTAAAATACCTTGTGAAGAAAAGAATTTGAAAGACAAGTCCCGGCTTATCTAGTGCAGAATACTGATCCCTAATTGTAGATTTTCCTGGTTCCCTTTCCTTCTTTCACAAACATCTGATAAAGGCATAACTGTGCTAAGTCTGGAGGTGTCATGGAGATTTTAAAAACTATAAATCCTTGTCTTCAAGGTACTCGGTGTGAGTATGAGACGGAGCAGGCAGGCAGTTAATGTTCCTTGACTTACTGGGGTTTTACCACATGTTGATACACCCATGGTAAAGTGGAAATAATGTTGAATCGAAAACACTGTATGTCCCCGACCCACTGCACGTAGTGGCAGCACTCTGGAGCACAGCCAGCTCCCATTGTGAGCATGTGGCTGCCTGAGCCACTGCCTCCTACCCAGTATCATAAGGGAACATCATCCTGTATTATTGCTAGCCCAGAAAAGACCCACAATTTAAGTGCAGTCTCTACCAAATCAGTGTCACTTTCACTCCATCTTCATAGTCTGAACATTATAAGTCATACCATCATAAGTCGAGAGCTGTTGTACCAACGAGAGAGAGTATTACTTGGCTTGGCCTCTGAGGGATGCCCAGGGCCAGTTAGAGAAGACTTCCCAGAGGAGATCACGCAGAAACTGGGGGTTGAAAAATGAGCATGAATTAATCGTCATGGCAGGGGTGCCAGAGGCCTTTTCAGATTCAACTCAAATCGGACTCTTTTGGTCACTGACAACTAATTCTGATTTTGTTCTTCCAGTTTACACAGACACCACTCTCCTTTCATAAACACCTCAGTTATTTGTACATAGTAGTCATGTTCCCCCTGCTTTTCTTCTGACACCACAGGAGTCTCCCTGGATGTTCCCATGCCAGAAGTCCCATTTTCCCCTGCTATCTCTTTTCCTATAACATTTTCTTCTCCCTGAGAACTAACTAACAGATACAGAATTCCCATTAATCTCTTTTTGAGTACTAAAGCCCATGGTGAAATAACCTTCTTAGCTTGTCAGGTAAGACTGGATCTTAGCTTAGAAGGGAGAAAGTGAGCCCTCTGCAGGTCCAGACCCAGTGCAGGAATAGGAAGTTGGTAGGGCCTCTTGGAAAGTCAGTCACATCCACAGAGTGTCTCAGCGACCTTCTGCATTAACATGACCTTAGGCCCTGTAGTTTTCCACCAAGGTCATCTTTTTCCACTGTCCTTTGCTTTAAAAAAGTTTCCACTTAGCTAAGGCCAGGGTTTTTTCAGCTGGCACTAGGCCGTCGCATGAGTTTATGTCAGTCTCTAATCTGGGCCCCAGTTTCCTTTATTTATGAAAGTAGATTGTCTCTCAAATCCCTTAATTAAGCGGGAAAGATAATGTATATTTTGATAAAATCCTGGGGTTTTTTTTTTGTTGTTGTTCTCTTTTTACTTTGGTTGCATTGCCCTGACAACCTGATTGTTTTTTCATTTTGTTTTAATTTTTTAAATTCACATTTGCTCATTATTTTAATTATGCAGCTTTGTGGGGTATAGTGATAATTCATTACGTGTGTGCAGCATGTAATGATTGAATCAGAGTAGTTAGCATTTCTGTCTCCTTTAATTTTTTTCTAAAAAGTTATTGATTAGCATGATAATTGTACAAATTTATGGGGTACCGTGTGATATTTCAAATAATGTGGAACATTTCATGAGTGTTCATATCATTCTTATGTAGGTGCCCTGTGAATAATCTCTGTATGGTTCTACTTTTGGTGTTATGTACTACTGTAACTAGCACTGTTTTTCTATTTTGAATGGTCTTTTGTGGAAGACTGACGTGAAGTCTTGTTATATCCTTGCCAAGATAGGACAATTGCCTGTTTAGTGTTAAACAAAGGCACTCATGGTGACTTAGATGTAAACTCCATTTTCCTTTATTCTGTTGCAGCTACTTCTGACCAGGGATTTAGTTTATTTAAACATTATATGCTAGAGAATTTGATTTTTCTTTCCACTAGGATATTGTGTCTAGGCCTGGTGTCGTTGGTGTACTCCTATAATCCCAGAAGCTTGGGAGGCTGGGGGGGGGGGTGGCAAGTTTAGAGCCAGCCTCAGCAACTTAGCAAGGCCCTAAGCATCTTAGCAAGACCATTAAAAATAAAAGGGGCTGGAGATGTTGCTTAGTGGTTAAGCGCCCCTGTTCTCAATCTCCTTGGTACCAAAAGAAGAAGAAAAAGAATGTGTGCAGGCTCCCGCAGCACTTTAAGGTGGAGGGTTTAATAGGATGCCACCAGTATTAAGTATGGAAATGTTTTCATCTGGCCAGTGCTTATCTGTTTAAAAGCATTACTTTGAATGTAATGGATTTTTTGTTTTACTTCTGTCTTTTGATGCACTAGGCTGGAATTGTGTGTAATTAGAGACTATAATGTTTCCTCGAAACTTGAATATCTAATGTTTTTTCCCTCAAAATTAGAGACTGGTTGGTCTCTGCTTTAATGAGTAACTCTGGAGACATCAGGAGATGCTCCTAACGTGTTAAGCATTAGATCAGAAATCTGCAGACCTGGCCCTAGATTTCTGTGAAGCCTTGGGCAAGCTTTCTTCCCATGTAAAGTAACTAGTGACAAGTGAATGTTATGCCACTGTTTGTAGCAGAAGCATTCTGAATTAACCAGAACATTGGAAACAACCCAAATGTTCATCAGCTGATAAATGAATAAATAAAATATCTCATATCTGAACAAGAGTATTATTCAGCAACTAAATTGAATATTAATGAACCCAGAAATACAGTGAAAATCGCCAGTTACAAAAAGCTACCTAATTACATGATATATTTTAAGTCTGTTTTTAAAAAGGTTAAATATGTTTATTGTTGTCAAGACCTCTTTGGATATCTAAAATAATTGTAAAGAGGCCAGATGAGCTGTAGATGCCTGGTTTCATAATTGATGGAAATAACTGGGGAGTGAAAAGCAGTGCTGGGCAGAGTGGGACTGTATTCTCAGTGCCCTGCCTGTGACTACCCACTAGAGGACAGCCACACCCATCTGTGGTTGAGTCCCTGCCGCCTGGCAATAGTGCTGTGTGAGAATTGACCTGCTGGGCAGCACAGTGAGCCTGTAGTTCCAGCTCCTGGGGAAGCTGAGACGGGATTCTAGACCAGCTTGGAGGAGACTGTTCTGATGAGGAACCTGCAGTGCTGTGTGTCAGATCTCTACTCTAGAGAGTGTGTGTGTAGGGCAGAGGGGGGATTGCAAGGCAGCTCTGATTGGTGAACTCAGATTTACCAAGGAGCTCTGAGGAAGGAAGGAAAGAGGGAGGGAGGAAATTATGCTTCTTTTTCAAAGCAAATGCTGAAACATCTGCAGAAGTTGGAGTAGAAGGAATGAGTCACTCTCCACTAGAACTTTAGTAGCCACTGTTTAAATATAGATTGGTTTGTGTGTGTCTTTACACATAAGGATTTCTGTGATTCTGTATTTGTGTTTCTGTAGGAAAGAGAAAGGACAGCTCTTGTTTCCTTCCTCCAGCCTCTCACCACAGTCAAGCTAGCTCAACTTTCACTATCCTCTTGAAAGCTGTTTTGTTTTTGTTTTTTTTTTGTTTTTTTTTTTTTAAGTAAAAATCAGGGCCTTCTGCACTGAACCTCAGCTACACCCCCAGTCCCTGTTCCTTACTTTTAAATGCTACTAAGTCTGAGGGGATAACACTGGAAGAGAGTGTCCCTGCCATTCCCCCTGCCTCCCTTTAATCTGAGTGCAATCTTTGGCAAGTTTCCCCCACCCCCCACCCTTTAAAGGCTTCTTTTCTATAAGATAAATGGGTAGATTGATGAAGCTCTACGAGACAAATGTCCTGAGAATTCTCTTGTTTCTTCACTCTTTCCTGGTCCCCTGTCAGTGTGTTTGAAGTCACTGTAGTAATAATTCCAGTCTGGTTTGCTCTTTTGTTTAGGTGGCATCTGCTCTGGAAAAATGGAAGACAGCAATCCGTGAAGCTCAGACTTTTTCCAGAATGCATGTTCTACTTGGGATGCTTGACGCCTGTATCAAGTGGGATATGTCAGCAGAAAATGCTAGGTGCAAAGTTTGTCGAAAGAAAGGTACGTTTAGATCAAATTTGCTAATGTGGGTGTGCTAGGTACTAAGATCTCCATTCTCAAGCTGTCTTCTCTCCCCAAAAGAATTTTGTATACAAATATTTTTAGGGGCTGGGGATGTGGCTCAAGTGGTAGCGCGCTCGCCTGGCATGCGTGCGGCCCAGGTTCRATCCTCAGCACCACATACAAACAAAGATGTTGTGTCTGCTGAACTAAAAAAATAAATAATTAAAAAAAATATTTTTAGTATGGTGGGGCAGATTTACTTTCTCCTGAAGGTCTATCAGATGCTGTTTTTTGAAATCACATGATGTTGGATCAGAGCAGGCCCTTAGTTCCTCAGTTTAGAGTATATTGTAAGAACAGTTGATCTCCAATCTTCAGATTTCCACAACTAGCAAAATTAGTTCATCTAAAAAATTTTTTTTAATATTTATTTTTTAGTTGGACACAATATCTTTATTTATTTATTTTTATGTGGTGCTGAGGATCAAACCCAGGGCCTCACATGTCTTATGCGAGTGCTCTACCGCTGAACCACAACCCCAGCCCCAGTTCATCTAAAATTTGAAATCCAGTTTTGTCTTGGAACTTTATTGTCTGGAAGAAAAGATGAGTGCTTCCAGCAGAGGGCACTCTTTATTCGCTGTGAATGCCAGAGTTGGCCCTTTTACCACTGTGTCCTACAGAGCAAAGCATTTAGGGATGTTCACTGTTGAGATCTTTCAGGTCACCTGTGTACAAAAGGAGCTTCATGACTAAAAGTCATGTGATTGACTTCTTAGTGGCTAAAGCTATTTAATTTCTAAGAAGGAAAAATTCTATACAATGTCATTCAATTGCTGTAAAACTGATTTAGAATGAAAGTCAGAGAGGGGGAATTGACCATGCTGATTCATTGTATTTCCAGATGTCAGGAAACTAAATGACTTGGAGGACCTTACCAGACATGCATTGGAAAGCATTTGGGATCAGAGAAGAGTAGCAAAGTTTCTAGCCATCACTTGGTTTTTGCTGCCTCTTAGTAAATACTAATTGTCCTATCTGTAGGTAGATTTTTGGCTATAAGTTAGGAGATCTTATCCCTAAATCACCAATAGTCTGTTTTATTCTACATTTCTTTCCAGAAGATGACTGTGTTTTGAAAAAGAGGTAGCACTATACTAGAATGTTTGTTCTTTTGTGGTGTTAGCTGAGGGTCAGCACCTTGGCTTACTGCTCAGTGATTGTTGCTGTGCCACCCACAGTGCTATACAAGTTTATCTCTTTGCAGGTGAGGATGACAAATTGATCTTGTGTGATGAGTGTAATAAAGCCTTCCACCTGTTTTGTCTGAGGCCGGCCCTCTATGAAGTACCAGATGGTGAATGGCAGTGCCCAGCTTGCCAGCCTGCTACTGCTAGGCGCAATTCCCGTGGCAGGTGAGGATTTTTCTTCTATAAATAAATGAATGGAGAAATAAATTTCAGTTATTCAAATTGAGTGATTCCAAAGAGCTTTAAGTTCATCTTTTAGTACAGAGCCTGTTCACTCATGGTGCTTCAATAGGAGTCAAAGGGCTCTGATCTGATTCTGGTTTAGTGTTGGTGTTTGTAGTTTTCTCTACCAGCCACATTCTCTTGTCTCCTTGATCCTACTTTCTTCTCAAGTGACAGTGCATCTCCTCTGCCTCTGCCCCCACATTGTGCACACCTCACTTCCTGATTACTTTTACAACCAGCTGCTGCTTAGTATCTTCAAACTCATGACCTTCCCTGCCTGCACCTCCTGTTTCCCACATTTTCCTCTCACAATTAGAACTTTGCTGTCGACTTAGACAGGAGCTTTCTCTTCCCATCCAGTGTATTTATTAATTTGCCAGATGTTAGTAGTCCAGCGTCCAGGTGTCTTATGAAAATGTCCAGGTTTCTTGTGAAAAAGTTGCCTGCTCTCCACTCTCTGTGGTCCCTTTGGTTGTTTGTCTCTCCTACACCTCTCATGTGCAGTCCTTTGGTGGATTTGCAGCTCCTTTGTCTTAGCTCATATCTTTCCCTTTCTTACCTGTCGAACTATTATGGTGATACCAGAAAAGCAGGCAGTAAGGTGAAGATCTGTTGTCTTTACTGTTCTAAAACTTCCAATCTTTTCATTGCCTCTAGAATAAAGTCCAAACTCCCTTGCCTAAGTTCTAAGACTTATAGCAACAGCAGCTTAGGTTTTGGGCCCTGGTGCCTGTGTGTGCCTGTTATAGGCTGCTCATTGCTGTCTCTTGGACTTTTCTCTGTTCAGCACTCCCAACTGAGTAAGCTGCCTTTGGCCTAGCTACATTTGTACTGTATTTATTTTTTAGTTTTAGGTGGACACAATATCTTTATTTGATTTTTATGTGGTGCTGAGAATCGAACCCAGTGCCTCATGCATGCTAGCCGAGCGTGCTACCACTTAAGCCACATCCCCAGCCCCTTGCACTGTATTTTTGAAAAGTTCTTCGTACATCCTTAGAGTTAATTTCTCCTCTTTGCTGGCTGAACTTTCCATCTCTAAAACAGTACTTTGATGCCTGCGTCTGATCATATATAGGGTTCCCTCCCACAAGATCATCAGTGCCCTGCGATTTGAGGTGCTGTTTTTTTTTTTTCCTGCCCAAGTGTCAATACAGAAAACATAGGACCTTGTAAGGAAGAAAGACCTAATATTTACCAAATTAATACCATTGTTTTTTGCATTGAAAGTTGAGATTGTATAAAGGTAGCTTATAGGCACTGTAGCTTGGTCTCTTTTGCAAAGGGTAGAGCAGTCTGACCCTGACTCCACCTTAACAGTATGCCTGAGTTGTTTCTCACCCCATTCCAGCCACGCTGGAGAGATGAAACATGCTTCTCTGAAATCATGGGGCTTGGAACCAGCTGCTCTGAGCTGGGATTACCATTGCTTTGAAGTTATGGTCATCTGCAAGCTGTCTCAGCTCCTGGAAGGGGGCCATCAAGGTGGAGTAACACCTGTCTGGACTGTTTGTCTTTTTAGTCCATCCCAGAGTGGGGACAGCTTTTAGGACCTGAAATGTTACTTTATATGGCTCTTTTTGTGAGACAAAAGTAATAGTGTTTTGCATTGTTTTGTGTGGGGAGGGGTAGGGTTGCATTTTGGTCTTGACTTCTGTTGCCATTGGTGTCCTATCCAAAACATTTGGGGCAGAGAAAAGGGAGGCATGCTGTTGAAGCCTCCTTTTGTTTTAATTTTGTGAAAAAACTCTCCTGATCTAGATTTAGGGTCTGTCCCCTTCTCACCAGATTAATCTATTCTGTGAAGAGAAAAAGGTTGCTGCGATCCCTGTGGGACATCAGCTGTTCTCAGGACCACTTTGGGCTAGAACTGTTCTCTATGTCTTTTCCTCCTCACAGGAATTACACTGAGGAGTCTAATTCTGAGGACAGCGAAGATGATGAGAGTGACTCAGAGGAAGAAGAGGAGGAGGAGGAGGAGGAGGAAGATTATGAGGTGGCTGGCTTGCGATGTAAGTGTTCACTTTGTCCACATCATTGACCTCACAGTCTCCCCAGCTGACCTGGAAAGGCCAGTAGTCGATTATTGATGCCAGCATCTTGCCGTCTTCCCTTTCTCCTGTGACTGTGGCATAACTGAGCAGCCATATGTTTAAATGAGTTTTCAAGATGCTGTTGCTAATCACCTGCCTCGTTGGAGGTGGGTGGCTTGGTCGTGAGAACACCAGCCTACGGCGGCTCAGGTTCGCAAGCATGCTTATGACAGGGTTTCTGACTCTGAACCCCTCCACATAAGGGACAGTGGATGAGTAGGCCTCTGGTGCAGTGCCGCTTTCAGAGATGTACTTTTTTCTCTGGTAACAGTGATCATTTCTTCCCTAAAACACACAGGTCTATAGTTTTGCTAATTTGCAAAGAGAAGACTGTTTTTTCATGGCTTAAGCAAAAGGATGTTAGAAAGGTTCAGATCTGTCCTCGCAGATGGGGGCCAGTAGTCTCGTCTGAGACCACAGCTCAAGATGGAGGAGATGGTACAGTTCCCATCTCACATCTCTTTATGGCAGCCCTGAGTGCTTATGCTTGGTGTGAGGAGAGGTCATGTTTGACCTTCACTTCCTGCACTGGTGCTGCCAAGATAGGAGGGCTCTAAGCTGGCACCTCTGCTCCAGTCTTCCCACCATCCTCCCCCACACTTGGGAGGTGTTCTTTTCAGGTGTCCTGAAGTGTGTGAGCAGGTATTCCAGGATTCTGCAGTGAGGGCGCCAGTCGTGGCTTGGATGCACATCTGTCTGGACAGATTCTGAATATAGCAGAATACTGGTTCTGTTTATTTTCAAAATGGTGATAGCTTTCAGCTTCCACATTGTGGCTCGGAAAGGAATTGTCCCCTTTCTGGGGTTCTAGGGCCTCTACCTGCCAAAGGAATCTAGGGAGCATTTGGTACTTCAGAGCCTTTTTTTGTTTCACCTTTCAGGCCACCAAAGCTGTGGTTCCTTGGTGTGACTCGAGGGCCTGGCATTTGAGCCTCAGCTTCTTTCCCTTTCTTATTAGCCCAATCTTAAGCTAGAGGCTGTGAAATAGCCCATGGGAGGGGGCCAGTTACCATGGTCCAGAAATAGAAAAGAAAGCACTGGTGATTGGTTCTCTCAACACTTATTCTCTAAATCCGTCTTTGCCCAAATGTCATCTCCCCACTTGCCAGAATATTAGCAAGGAAAAGTCATAGACAGTGGGTTTAATGGAGAAGCCCTGAGCTGATCCTCGTGGAACAGTGCTCCCAAGGGCATGCTGAGGAGTGTCGGTGTGCCTGACATCCAGCCCCTGCTGCCAACTGGAGATGCTCGCAGCCTGGCTGCCTTCCTGCCTGTCCTCTCTTGGGGCTGCTGGGCAGGCCCTTGCAGTGCACTGTCTGGTTGTCAGAAATGCAAGAAGACAGGACTAGAGCAAGCACTGAACTGGATTCAGAGAGGAAGGCTTGTGGCCCTTCACTGGTGTCTGCCTTTCTCTGAGAAGGTTGGATGGTGGGTGTAGGATAAGTCTGGGGATTATGAGACGGGCAGTTTCGTGATGAGGCTCTGTCTCGCATATAAGCACACACACACTTCGGCTGAGCTCGGGTCTTAGAAGACCAGGACTTTTCCTCCTGAGTCAGTTTGCAGTTGAATCCTTCAAGGCCTCATTCCCAGGAGCAGTTGAGCAGGGTTGGGACAAAGACGTCTAAAAGGTCTTTGGGAATTGAAGAGGGGCATACATTTTCATCTACTCTTGCTGCTACTTCTTAGCAACCTGTTAGGAAGGGCAAGAGAAAAATAGCAAGAGCACCCGTAATAGAAGGAAGCCATTGCTCTGCCTGTATGAGTGGCTTTGTCCTCCCTGCCCTGCCCCCAATGGGCTCTTCCTCCTCTGTTGCTCTGAATTCTTTATTTTTTATTACAGTGAGACCTCGAAAGACCACCCGGGGTAAGCAGGGAATCATCCCCCCGGCAGCACGGCCAGGACGACCAAGTAAGAAGCCACATCCCACCAGGAGGCCACGGCCAAAGGTGTCCCCTGTGGATGATGCTGAGGTTGATGAGCTGGTAAGAGTTGTTTATTGTCCTCCCTCTCGTTTTCCTATTCTTATTTCCTCCCCCAGAATTAGGAATTCACCAGGCAGCAGGTGGAGCCTTGCTTCTCCTCCCTTCTCCCTCCTCCTGAGCCTGGGGGTCTGAGGAGGCAAGTGGGTGGGCCCATGGGTGGGCCTCTGGGCAGCCAGCCCTCCGGGAACGGAACAGCTCTGTCTGGCATTCCCCGGCCATAGCTTGCAAACATCATCCTCTCAGTTAGTAAGCAGCCTGCAACTTGTTAAGGATTTTAAAATAGTACCCATGTGTCTCTGGTGGGCCCAGAGGGGCTGGATCTCCCTGTGGGAATGTCAGCAATGTTGGAGCCTCACTTACTGCTGGGTCTTTTGCCGACAGTTGTTAGGGGAGGGACATTACCCTCCCCTCTGCTCCTCAGCCAATGTAATTTTAGTAGTTTTGTTTTAGCTCTCACTTGAGCTTTGAAGAACAAAAAGAAGCTCTTGAAAATGTGCTTGTTTTGGCAGACCCCCATCTCAGGGTCGGGGCATAAAGCAAGCCATTCTGGAGATGAAAGGACATTAAAGACCCCCCTGTGTGCCCAGCTCTAACTCCTTCAGGGCAGTGGCTCCTACTGCTGTGAGTCCCCAGTGGTTTCACAGCCACCTGGAAGACGGATTCCACCTTCTGTCCTCAGCCACCTCCTCTTACAGTGCACTCAGTGGAAAGGCCCTGCGAGGGAATTGAACGTCTTATTTTCCTTCCCGGACACCCCACCTCCACAAAATTGGCTACTGGAGGTCCAATATCCGCCCCCCCTCCCGCCGGCTTTTTGCAGTTGCTTGTTTATACCCATCCTTGGTCTCACCATAATCCCGGGTCCATCTGCTGTCAGAGTGCTAGCGTCCTGTTGACAGTGGCCCTTTCCAGCCAACCTCTAACAGTCCTGCTGTTAATGCAGCAACTGCTGCCTGCCCTCTGCTGCTTTGATGGCTGTCCACCAGGGAGCGGGCGAGTGGATAGATGAAGATGCCTGCCTCCCGGCCCAGAGTGTGGCCCGACTTGAATGTCGAATGTTTTTGATGTCTCTGCATCAAGAAAATGGTTGAGCTCTGTTTTTCTTTCCTTTTCCTTCTTTTTCTCTTTTTTTTTAAGCAGATGCACACATTGTCTGTCCTGCCTGCTGTTCTACTCTGGGCCTCTAATAGACATTCTTCTTTCTTTCTTTCTTTTTTTTTTTTTTTATTGGTTGTTCAAAACATTACAAACATTCTTCTTTCTTTTGGTGTTAGGTACTTCAGACCAAGCGCAGCTCCAGGAGGCAAAGCCTGGAGCTGCAGAAGTGTGAGGAGATCCTCCACAAGATTGTGAAGTACCGCTTCAGCTGGCCCTTCAGGTGAGCTCTGCTCCAGGGAGGTTGGCCACGCAGTCAGGCAGGCGCTGGGAATAGGGGAAAAAAGCAGCTGGCTGAGCCCCCAGGGACCGCCCCATCCCTTTCCTTTCAGGACGTCTTAGTGGCAGGGGAACTAGCTTTTCCAAGTGGATAGTGACAGCTCTGACAAGGTGACCACATCTCTTCTGTGTCCTTCAGGCGTGGGCATTCTGGGTCTCCTTATTTGGCTCTCAGGCTTCTCTCAGTTGCAATCAGGGTTCCATTGGTTCTTCTCCACAGGGAGCCTGTGACCAGGGATGAGGCTGAGGACTACTATGAGGTGATCACCCACCCCATGGACCTTCAGACAATACAGAACAAGTGTTCCTGTGGGAACTATCGCTCCGTGCAGGAGTTCCTTACTGACATGAAGCAGGTGTTCACCAACGCTGAGCTGTACAACTGCCGAGGCAGCCACGTGCTCAGCTGCATGGTGAAGACGGAGCAATGCCTGGTGGCACTGCTGCATAAACACCTCCCTGGACACCCGTATGTCCGCAGGAAACGCAAGAAGTTTCCCGACCGGCTTGCTGACGATGAAGGGGACAGTGATCCAGAGCCTGTTGGACAGTCCAGGGCACGAAGGCAGAAGAAATAGAGAGGTGGGGCCCTGGTAAGGGAGCTGAGGTAGGGGGATAGTGGGGGACAGCTGGGGGGAGTGGGGAGGCAGGAGAGGAAGATGGAGAAGAACTTGGAAGGAAAAAATCATGGGAGTCCAGAAATATCTGTCACCCCAAGCTTGTGCTATTCTCCAACTCCCCTTTGGGCCTATTCAATCAAAGCTTTCGGGGAGCCTAATACCGAGTAGGTGATTTCTGCCAGAAGTTCTGGGTGCAGAAGAGGGTCTTAGCCCTGCTTTCCAAGCGTTTCCTGGAGGAGGCCCAGGTACTGTGTCTCCTGTGAGCCCAGTTCTTTTTCTCCCTCCCTTCCCTCTGAGGTCCCTCCCACCTTGGCAACAAAGCCAAGCCCCTCTGGTCTCCAGTGAGGGGTTACGGCATTACTTAGCAGGATCAAGAATAATCAGGCTAATTGGGGAGGTTGTGTTGTTTTTGTTTTGTTTTGTTTTGTTTTGTTTTGTTTAATCTATATTTATACACAGTCTTGTTTCTTTCAGCCGGTACTCTGTCTCTTCCTCCTCCTCCCTCTCAGGTGACGGTATGTCAGTGAGTGCCATACAGAATTCTGTTTTCACCAGCATCATGAGACAGTTGTGGTCTTTTGAGTTGATCTTAGCAGAGTAAAGGGACATTTTCTGGAGCCATTCCTGAACACCCTGCCCCTTCTTTGTGATAGCCTTCTCCCACTTCCCTGCCCCACCGCCTCAACAAAGCAAAGCAAAACAAAACAAAAAACGAAGGCACTTCACTTAGAGACTGAGTCCTGCTTATAATCATGCGTATAACCTTTATTTGATGGATCTGGCCAGAGGGGTGTTGGAGCCCAGCCCACCCACATACCAGACGAGCTCTTAGGGAGCAGAAGAGCAGGAAGAATTGAAATGTTTGATTTTTTTTAAATTGACTTTTCTAGTTATTAAAAGTTGCTTGTTTCAGCAGTGATATTGTATAAAGAACATCTTGTAAAATATCTGTCATCTGGCTTTGGCACATGTACAGTACAGTTTATATGATGTGTCTGCTTTACGCCCCCATCGCCCTCACCCACCTGGTCTTCTGCAGAGGAGCTGGGTTGGAGACTGGTCCAGTGGCATCTTGGTGGCCTTCTGCCTACTGTGGCGCTGGCGGCGCGCTCTGCCTCCTCCTCCATATCTGCCTCTTCCCATGCCCATTCTGGCTTCAGACTCAGAGCTCCTTCGAACTGCATATGGCAGTGGTCAGTGTCAGTGGGGGTGGAGGGCGGGAGCAGCTCAGAGAGCAGTTCCACAGCCAGTCTAACCTAGTCGTTATATTTAGGCAAAAGTTTGTAGTCTTCTTTCCCTTTTATGACAGATTTTGATAAAAGTACAAGACAGGGTTTGATTTTTCTATTCTATCAACTTTGAATTTGGAACACGTGAGCACCTCAGCTCTTCTGTATCTATTTAAAGGAAAAGAAGCCCACCAAGGGGATTGCCACTCCTAGGACTGAGAGTAAGCCTCCTGACATGACACTCCCAGGTGTGGTCCCAGCTCTCCTTCTCCTCCCTGCCCGGGGGTTCTGGGACTCTGGGTTCAGTCTGACTCTGACTCTGACTCTGACTCTGACTCTGGGTTCAGTCTCAAGTGGCTGGTGGGTAGGGTTACCACCCTTCTCCAGGCTTGGGGTAAGCACTGACTTGACACCAGGACAAGCCCTGCCACCACCCCAGCCCCTGCTGCTTATTCTAGATCCAGTCTGTTCTTGTTATAGTGAGAATCCGTGTTCCCACTGCAGTGACACCTGAATTGTTGGTTGTTTTTTTAATTGTCTTTAAGGAGGAAGGGCCCCATTAAAGGGTGAACTTGTAATAAATTGGAATTTCAAATAAACATTATGTACTTGTGTTTATAAAGAAGAAACAATTCTGCAGCTCTTTCTTTGTGCTCTTGCCAAGGTGGCGGGGAGTCCAGTCCTGGGAGCTAATTTCTGGTTGGCCTGGCTGGCTCCCTGTGAGGCTTGGCGTGGCAGGCCAGAGTACCCCTTGCCTGGTCCCTGTGGCCCTGTCCGCCACAGTGCTTCACTTCCTGGAGACAGGCCAGGTGTACTTAGGCAGGCAGGACCTGATCTTGTCTCCATCCAGCTCCCTGAATTTCATCTGGAATTGGGGCAAAGTATTCTTAAGGCTTAACTGTGGGTCTTTGTTCCTTTAGTTTGGGGAGAAACTCCTATATTTTAAAACATTTTTCTTTTCTTTTTTTTCTTTTTATTTATTTATTTATTTATTTATTTATTAGCTTTCGGCAGACACAACATCTTTGTTTGTATGTGGTGCTGAGGATCGAACCCGGGCCACACGCAGGCCAGGCGAGCGCACTACCGCTTGAGCCACATCCCCAGCCCAAAAACATTTTTCTTTTCAAGGGAAATAATTTCAGACATTCACAGAATGGGTGAAAAATATAATGAGTTCCCACGTGCTCGGCTTCAGCGGTTCCACCCGTGGCCGCCCTGTTGGATTTCGCCCTCATGTGTGCTTGAGAGTCTGCAGTTGGTTTGAGCAGGCCGCTGTGGGGCGACGCCTCTCCTGGGGAAGAGAGCTTTTGCTAAGCCACTGCTGCAGTGCTGCCTGCTGAGCAGTTGGACTGCCAGTTCTTGACCACCCGAACCAGGCAGAGCAAAAGGTCAGATGCCAACCTGGAAGAGGGTTTGAGGGAAGGCCGCAGCCCTGGGTGCAGGTTCTGCCGCTGGCCTCACAGCCTTGTGGACATGGGCTTTCTGGGTCAGGGCCTGCACCAAGCACTCAGAGGTGCCCATCCCTTCTGGGGGAAGGTGGGCTTGGCCCCCTAGCAGTTTGGATTCCACTCGCTTGTCCCCTCCAGCTCTGGAGAAGAAAGCTCTTCTCTACATGATGGGCAGCACTCAGGGCTCCCAGCCCGGTCAGTGAAGTTCTATTCTGGGTGGTGGGTTCCTAGGCCCACCCGTTCAGCACCWGTGGGGCTGTCCTCCCTCCAGGTCTGCACGGGGCCCTGCTCAGCATCCCATCTCCTTCCTATCTGCCCCTTCCCCAGGCCAGTGATGTTGAGGGAAGCTACTTCACCTGTGATGACTAGTGCAAAGAAGAGCTTTGTTCCAGAGGACTCTACTCGAGATCACCCTTGTCTTACAGCCCTGTCCTGGGATGAGGTCTCTGGGTTCCACAGCAGCTCCTCAATGAGCCTTCTCCAGCTTGGTGGGGGCCAGGGTGTCTAGCAGAGTGTAGAGTGAGCGAGTCAGGAGGACAGAGTAACCCTGAACCCGTATCCTAACTTTGCCCTGGACCTTCAGGCCTCTTCACACTGTGGACTGTCCCAATCCAGGAGCTGCCTTGTGGGAGTGAACACAGCCCTGGGCCCCAAGATCCCTCAGAGGCTGAACTCGGGGCTGAGATTTAACCAAGGCCCTCACTATGCACAAGCTCCGACCCCCAGGTATAAGGCTACATTCTAAAGATTGAGACCATGAAGGGGAAGAAAGGGACCAGAGCCAATGGTACAGGAGCCAGCAGGTATTGGTTTCTGGGGTGCTGCTGCCTAGTTCTGAAATGTTCTTTCTGGGTGGTTGGGGAGATCTATCCAGTTGCAGAAGGGTTATTTTTCTCCCTCACCTGCTTTACCCAGTTTATGTGGACTGGACCTCTCTGAGTTATACACCAGTGCACAGGGACCAGAGAAGTCTGGTCCTACCTCCCAACACAAGAGGGAGAACAAGCAGTTCCCCCTCACTGGACCAAATCAGATCCTTGGTGTAGGACTCTCAGAAGCTCTGGAGGCCCACTGGGTTAACTCCCAGCACGTCCTCAGGCCATGCGGCTGTGATTTTGAACCAGTGAAGCACCAACACTGAATGCCCAGGGGAAGGCTCTGTCCAAGGCTTAGAGCATCACTGCTTCCTTCTCCCCTCAGGGTCTTCAAAGGCTCATCCAGGGCTGAGAGGCCTTTGCTGGCATTGTGTGCCCTCCTCTCAAGCCCTGGCCAACGTGGACCATTGTAGCCTCAAACCTGCCCTCCTGACCGTATCGTTGCCCCCGGTGTTCCTCAGCCCCACCCCTCCAGGATCTGGCAGCCAGCACTGGGCTTGTTTTTGGCTGAGTGGACACAGCCAGGGCCAGCCCCTCCCCTGTCCCCTGCCTAGCAAGGAAGAGGGTCCTCTGGTGCTCTTCCAATGCTCAACTCCACCGCTGCTGCAAATCCTCCCCTTTCCTAGAGGCCCCTGCCCGATGGCGCACCCTCAGCACCCCACACTCCCTGCAGACTGCCCGGGAGCCCACTCAGTGTGGCCACTGCCATAATGAGCTCCTTATTACCTCTCCTCATTCTGTTTCTCACCCAGTTAGAAGGAATTAAGGTCCCTTAGCATTGTTGGTCAAAGGCACAGACTTACTTTGTGCTGTGGGAAGAGAAGGACAAGGACATTCCTGTACATGCCCCTGGGGACCCTTGTGCTGAAGGATGAGCCTGACCCCAACTCAACCCATGAGGGACCTGCTTGGGACCCAACCTGGGTGATTCTCATCAGACTTCTCTGGTCCCTGTGCACTGGTAGCTGGTGCTGGGCAAAGCTCAAGCCTGAGAGGCCCTGCCACGGGGGCTCTGTCCTCCTACTGTAGAAAGCAGTGGGGGCACCTGCCCCAGCCTGGGCCCTGAGGGTCTCCTGGCACTGACACCGAATGCTGGCTCCAGGTAGTACAGGCCCCAGGACAGTGACCAGTGCCTTTACCTGGCTGAAGTGAGTGTCCCAGGTCAATATGGTGTTTGACCACAAGCTGAAAGGTCTCAGGTGGCCTACACAGCTACATCACAGGGGACAGAGGAGGCAGGTCCCAGGGCCCTGAGCTGCCCCAGCACACACAGTGCCTCTGCCTACCTCCCAACACAAGTGTGCAAGCTACCTGTGTGGAGCTTGCTGCCAATCGCTACTAAGCTCCAGGGCTTCCATCTCTGGGCCCACATCCACACTACCAAGAAGCCGTTGCCAAGCTGGGCCCATGTGCCCCTCCCAGAGACAAGGGAGGGCCGGATATGGGGATGCCTTGACCAGCGCCCCAAGGAAGGAGGTCATCCTCCAGCCTCAGGCCTGGGAAGGGGACCCGTTGAGACAAGGTGGAGGAGGCTCAATCCCCACCTTGTCCGCTAATGAGGAAAACAAAGGGTGAGGAAGGGAAGACAACCACAGCCCGAGCCTCTGGACACCCCGGAGCCAGAGGGCATCGTGTCATCCCCGGGATTCCCTGAGCATCCTGGCAGGCATCCCAGCCCCACTTTGTAGGCACAGCACTTGGGCCTCAGAAAGAGGCTTGCGCGTGCGCGCGCGCGCACACACACACACACACACACACACACACACTTCTGCAAAACAGCTGTGCCCGGGGGGAACTTACTCCTGATTGGAGGGGAGCCAGAGAATGAGCCTGACACCCCTCCAGCTCTGCTCTCAGGGAGCCCTGCAGACCCTCGTCCTACCTTCCCCTTCCCAGCCCAGAGAGGACTCAGCAGTGCCACACCGGGGTTTATTCCAGTCACAGCTTCCAGAGGAACTCAACAATAAATTACATCATTAAATAAGCGCCAGCTAAACCACGCTCTCTTCTGCCCCCTCCTCTCACACCTTCCGGGACTCAAACAGGCCTCCCCCCCCATGCACTAGCCGGGGAGAGGGATGTGAGTCTCTCTGGGTCCCCACCCTGGTCCTCAGCCCCCTGGCATTCACT